ATCAGAGTTGAAGAATTATCAAAGAGTGTCTCTCACAGTGAATGCATGAACTAGTATAAATAATCTTACATTTATAAGAGTTACATGTTATTACATTGATAAGAACTGAACTTATTAAAAGATATTAATTAAATTTGAATCATTAATCAGTAGTCATACTGAGAATTATATAACAGAGATATTAATGACTGTGATTAAAAATGACTATTAAGATATTAGTCTCAGTCTTCTTACAATTATAACTGATAATGCTGTGAATAACTACACTATGATGAAGAGCTTGAAGTAAAAATTGACTTTGTATTTCTGAAATGATAAATAAGGTCATATTCTCTGTATTGCTCATGTGATTTAACTTGTGATATAAACACTGATAAAGAATCTTAACATTAAGACAAAGAATAATGAGATAGCTGATTCTTGAGATGAGAATGAGATAAAAGTGATTACTCAAGTAACTTTTACATTTACTTTGCAAAAGATAATGTTTTTTGACAACACTTTTTAATATTGCTTTTTAATAATGCTTTTTAATAATGCTACTGTTAATTTTGAATAGATTGACTAATAATTTAAATATCACAGATTTGAAACATTGTTAATACAATTTGTATCTTCTCTAAACAATAATAACAATTCTATAATATTCAATAAATAAACAAATCAGTCACATCACTGAATATGATACAGAATGTTAGAATATAGTGAAGTTTAATATATAAGATAGCTGTTCAGACTCTTCAATTGTATCAGATGATTAATTATTGAGTATAATACTCTGATCAGAAAAAGATTCAGATATTGAAACTTTCTGATATAAAGTAAACTCAGTTGAAATATGTGATTGATTTACTGTTTCAGTTTTATAAGATAACAAAGACAGTCTTAATCACTTGTATATCAATGCTGCAGTCAGTCTGATAAATGTATAACAGTTTATTTACTCATCTTGAGAAGCAGTTGAATCACTTAAAAAGAAATTCAGTCTGAGATGATGTTATAGTGCAGGCTATTATTACTGTAAGAAATAAACTGGCATATTACTACAGCAAAACTGAACAATCTTTTGCAGAGTACTATGCTGTAGCAGCTCTACTAGATTTCTCTTATTGAGTTAATATCTACACTTCTCAAGATTGAATAGAGAAGAAATGAGACTTGTATATTAAATTAGTCTGAGACTACTACAATGTCAACTATCAGAGATTTGAATGAGCAGATGTTCAAGATATGAAGACAGTGAAATATAATTCTCTAGTAAGTAATGATCTTTGATAACACTTCATATTTCATAGAACTATAATACTAACTTTGAAACAGAACTTGCATATATTAATTACAACTGAAAATCAGGCAAAACTACATACTTATAAAACTGAATTTGACTGCTATCTTCAAGATAATCTGATGAATTTACATGCTAAATCAATTCTAGAGTTATGAAAAATTGTTAAGAGTATATATTCAACTGTTGTACTGATGATACATGATATTCTGACAATTTCATTGATAGAGATGAGAATGAAGTGAAAGTTCAACTCAAGTTAAGATATTTATCACTATTACTGAGAATAATTACAAGAAGAAATAATCAAGAAACTCATGATTATAAAACATAAAATTATCAGACAGTTTAATATCTCTGATCACAGTATATCAGAGAAGTGTAGTTTTCATGAGAAAGTGAAGAATAAACTTATACAAGAATATATTTAGTTGTTTCATGAGTGTTATCAATAATTGTTATCAAATTCTGATTATATAAGCAATCACTAAATGAACTGAATGAGACTGATTTTAATCTTCAGTTTCAGTCTCATTCTGATTTTGAAAGAATAATCATCTTTCACAGTTTATTCTGAGAAATTACTCTCATTTCACTGTTCTTGAATTAAATCTGGTCATTTTTCATGCCATTTCTCTCAGAAATGGTTCATTTTCAGATTTTTTTGAGGCTTGGTCCTGGTGAGACTCACGCCAAGAAATGTATGAGATCAGATCAAATGAGATCAAATATGAAATTCATAGTCTTGCCGGCCAGTCTAATCACTATCTCTTCATTAGTGAGACAGTATCATCATATCTAAGTGACTTAGTTAATAAGAGAATTGTTTTCTCTCAATTACAGAAGATCTAGAATAATGTTCTCATCTATAATATTAACTATATAAAGAAGCAGACTGCTTTTCTTAAAGATTTCTTCTAAGTCTGTGATTATATACTTTGCTTAAATTATATTAAAACAGTGATATTTTATTTCATCAGTAAATTTTATATAATCTGATCAATCTATCTTCTTTCAATTCTTCATTAAGAAAATGAAATAGAATATGAAGTTAGTATTTATCTCAGAGTTAAGTAGACATCTCACTGATATCTTCTTATTCAGAGTATTTATTGTGATTATAATATAAACTCAGAGATATGAGAATTATTAATTCTTTATTTCTTTCTCTTCTTTATCTTCTGTGAATGTATTTGTCAGAAGAGAAGTTAACTTTAAGAAGATATCTTCTCAATTTCTTCTCTTCTTTAATTTCTTATAATTACTAGTATAGTGATTATTAGCTCTACAATTAAAATAGAGATCTTTATCAAATCTTTTTTAATATTTCTTTACAGTGAGTGAAGAATTAAAACACTTGAAATTCTTCTTTACTTTCTTCATACTAGAGCTGTCACAGTGCTGTTTAGATTCTATTATTAATTACTTAGAAGAGATTTTATTAATCTTTTTCTCAGAGTATTAATTATTTAAATAGATTTAGAAAGTCAAGTTAATAAGCTCAGTATAATTAATTAATAAACTCTGATACTGTAATATTATTATCTATATCTTATGAGTCAGCTTTATAAGATAAAGCTGTATTTTTAATTGATTCAAATTATCAGTTAATTTCTCTTAATATTCTTTAAATCTTATATTGAAATCAGAAGAATTCTTATTATCTTATTAATATAATAAGTTAAATCACTATACTGCTGTAAAGCTGCAGTTATAGTAATCTTTAATTTAATTCAGTAGAAAGTTTTTGAATACTTCTTAAGTTATAACAGTATTAATACACTCAAGCTCTCTCTTCTTAATAACTTAAGTAGTCACAGAGATATCTTCAAGAAAGTTGACAGTATATATTACTTATATCTCATAAGTATTAAACTGACTTGAGTTAAGATGAAATTTTTATTCAAGAATATAGATAAAGCTGTGAAATTCAAATAATATATTTCTCTTATATCTCAGAGAATCTTCAATCTTAATCTCTCTATTTTTATAATAGATGTAGATGTATAGAGACTATAACAGTAATAGAGCAGTTGAAGAACTTATATTAAAATATACAGTGAGTTCAGAAATCTTGAATTTTTACTGAGATAGAGATGTACACACTCTAGAGAATGATATAAAGTTTTCTTCGAAGAGTGAGATCAGATCAGTCTCAGTGTAAGTATATAAGATTATATCAGTCTGTTAGAGCTTAACTGATTCAAACTTATAATCAGATTAAGTAATTTAAATTGTAATATAATAGAGTTAAAGCAGTGACTAGTCAGTGATATTATATAGAAATAGTTATTTAAAAAGTTATATAAATAAGCTTAACTATTTTACTTGAATAGTGAGCTTATAAGCTACAGAGTTATTATGAGAATATCACAGATATAATACTTAATATACTATGAAAATTATATAAGAAATATAGTAACTCTTGTATATATTCTTATAGAAGAAAAAATGAATTACTGACTTCTTTAATAAGAAGTCAGTATCTAGCTATTCTGTATAGATAATGAGTAGATACTCTTCTCTTATTCTATGAGTAAGAATAGTCAGAGTGATATCTCAGTAGTATCTTACTACTATAAAAGAGTAATCTGCTGATCTTGTATAGAAGTGAGGTTTTTATATTTATCAATCAGATCTTTCTATAATATATTTAAATAATGTTATAGAGTGATTGAAAACCAGTTTAAACAGTCTGTAAGATAAATGAAATCATCTGCATAAAAGTAATAAGCTGTGTGAAACCGCAACAGAGCCTTGACGCGGCCGGGAGCATGATAAGTATATTTAATAAAAGATTTAATAGTGAATTCAATGAAAAATTTAATAATAGATTCAATGAAAGATTTTAATAATAAATTTAATAAAAGATTTTAACAGTGTATTTAATAAAAGATTTAATAGTGAATTTAATGAAAGATTTCAACAGTGTATTTAATAAAAGATTTAATAGTAAATTCAATAAAAGATTTTAATAATGTATTTAATAAAAGATTTAATAATGAATTTAATGAAAGATTTAATAGTAGATCTGAATATAAATAATAATAAGATTATAAATTCAGTTCTTCTATTTCTTTTATTATATATTTTATTATTATTATATTAATTATCTTACTTAAAAATACTATATTAAATAAAGTTAAAGCTGTTAGAGTTGAAGAAGAGAATATAATTACTAATATTTAAAAAATCTATATAGAAGAATTAATTATAAAAATTATAGATTTATTCTTCTAATTCTTCTTCTTTTTTCTACTTATTAATTATTTTATTATCTCTCTTATTCTTTATTTTATTAATAATCACTTATTTATATAATCTATATAAGATGTTAGACTCAGATATAGAGATTTATAAATATTAAAAATTCTCAGACTAAGTCTTTATATTCTTCTTATTTATTTATTTCTTTATCTTATTATTAACTGAATTCTTTTCATTATTCAAAACTTCTGAAATAGATAGTTTAAGAAGACTGAGATATAAAATAGAAGTCTTTATATAAACTTATAAAACAGCAGAATAATAAGTATTATAAGATATATTAAAAAAAGAGTTAATTGATATATATGAATTTAATGATAAAGATAAGAAAGACATGTATTTGAATGATATTTAATTGAAAAAGATATATATTTGATATTGAATAATTCTAGAGAAATGCAGATATTTTGATTTTTTAGTGATATTTTACTACTAATTTTCAGAGGGGGCTGAGCGGGATTTCCTGCGAGAGGTGTTGGTGTGATGGGGGACGGCCTTTGAACAGGACGATATTTTGAGTATTGCGGGGTTATTAAAAAGGAAAAGGGAAAAGCCGAGAGGATAGAAGGATTGTATAGTTCTGTTTTGCAAGTTCTGCACTATTGTGCCAGACGTAATGCTTGCGAAAACAAAACAATGCCAAGACTTGGGGAACATAAATAAATACTCCGTATAAAAATTCAAGACCAGATTGCAGATTGCAATGTCAACAGCCGGAAAGTCCAGTATTGTTGTCACACAAATTCTGGTAATGACAACAGAAAAAAAAAGCCCTACACAAAATAATTAATACAAGCAGATATTAATCATTGCGTTCAAACATAAAGTAGTAAATCTAGCAGCAATATCTATGATATGTTTCGAGAAGCATATAGAAGTAAACCACTCCATACAAAGTTGGATCAACATCAAATGCCTTTCTTTCTTTGCACGGGTCTATGTAGAAAAAGTTATTTAAAGAGAATATAAAAATACAATATTATATAAAAAATTCCGCCAGATGCGGTGTAATATTTATGGGAGACATATCAAAAGAAATCCCCCCAGCCATTACCGTCCCCATCGCCATCGCCTTCGCCTTCTTCACCCCACCCGCCATTACTTCCACCGTCTCTGTTCCACCAATCCTGTCCACTCCCCCCCCAGACCTCCTCGTCCTGGTAGGCCCCATCCTCCGGCGGTGGGTGATCTTGCGATTGTTGTGTTTCATCTGGCTGCTGTTGATTATCAGCAGAGGCACCTCTTTGCATAGCTTCGTATCCAGCCATAGTTCCAGCTCCAGCAACACCTCTCCCGATTGCGCCTGCAGCACCTTCCGCAGCAGCGCCTTCAACGGCCCCTCCGGCAGCACCACCCGGAGCACCACTGGCAGCACCCTCACCTCCTCCGCCACCCATCCCGAAAAGTGGAATGGGCAAACCACCAGAAGAGCTATGGCGGCTGAAATAATCGAAGTCGATTGTGACAGCGGTGGCAAGTATCACGGCGCGTTGGTCTAGTGTCATCCCACTCTTATCGCTGCTATCATACAGCGGGTGTGATTCTTTATGCGTTTGAGAGACAATGTGATGTCGATCTCGCTCCTCCGCTAACGCTGCGGCGTCCATCCGAAGCGCATACATGCCGGTATCTGTAAATAGCTCCCGAGCAAAGCCGACGAAGTTACGATTCACGGATCCGATCAGCCGTGAATCTGCGGATCGGAGAGAGAAATCCCATGACAGGAATGGTTCGTCTACGTAGGCAAATTGGCCAAATTCGCCGGATGCTCCGGGTGCAGAAGTGCTGGCAACTTGTAATTTTTGAGATTGGGAAAGGTCTGCGTTCGATAGAGGTACGTGTTTCGTGTGGAGATCGGTCTCCGGAGTCGGATTTGGATGGAATAGGAAGAGGTTGTATTTTCGTCGCAGAGGAGCCCATTGAGAATGAGTTTCACCAACCACGCGCATATCTGCAAGGTCAAGGGAGGATATTCGCGCTGAATCGCCTGAGGTAGCAGCAACAAGGGGTTCCGCAGCGTTGGTTTGGACGGCGGCTGAGGATGAATGGGATGAAGAGGCTACGTCTAACGGATCGTAAACTCGGATTCGACTATTTATCCATGAGAAGGGCCGGTGAAACTGGAGAAAATAGTTAGTACAAATGGTATATTTGAAATATTACTTAGGGCAAGTAACATACACGTAGGACTTCATTTTGATGTTTGTCAAAGACATGAGTGACAAACGCGCGATGTGTTCGAAACCATTGACGAGCGAGCATGCTACCCATACTATTCCCCTGCTCAGCTATGTATCCGACATGGTTCCCTTGCGCATCCAATATTGTATACCGGTTGGCTTGTTCGAAGCCACTGTACCACATCAGTAAGAACGGCGACTTGTGAAGGATGTCACCGCAAATTGAATGAAGGGTCTACGTACAGGAGCACATTCATCATCTCCAGCTGCCTCTGGACAACCAAGCCGGAGTTTGCTAGGAGCCCCGCAGCTGGATGGGTCTCCCTAAGAACTGCATGTGGATCTTCTGGGATGTGAACGGGAGAGATAAGTGTGTTGTCTTGCGGGTTGGTATCCCGTAGTGTTGCGGAGACAGAGTCTTGCGCCGAGGCGGGAGCGTTTTCAGGCCCAGATTGCGCATTCGCCCGGTCTCCCCGGCGCGGAGGAGGGATGGAATTCCGCCGATTCGGGATATTTTGCGGTTTCCGGCGGAGGGACGTTATTCGTGAGCCTTTCCTTGACCAAGGGTTTGTTGATCTGAGCGAGGCTGTTCGGGTGCCAAATGAGGGGCGAGGTTCAGGTAGCTTCAGTCGCTGGTGCCACATGATAGCAAAGCGGACATGATAATCAGAGGGGGGAAGGTTAAATATATCATTCCCAGTCTATATAATGAAGTTTCTGAGGCTTGTGTACCGGTACAGGACAATTAAATCTATTTAATATGTGGCGTCCGGTGGTAGTAAAATCGAACATAGAGGATGTGAATTCCATCTAGATGATATTTAGTTATTGTGGCAGACATATTACTTGTGAAAACAGAATTTTCTCAGCCTCCTCTGAAAATTAGTAGCAAAATACTATCAAAAAATCAAAATATCTGCATTTCTCTAGAATCATTTAATATCAAATGCATATCTTTTTCAATCAAATATTATTTAAATATATATCTTTCTTATCTTTATTATTAAATTCATATATATCAATCAACTCTTTTTTTAATATATCTTATAATATTCATCATTCTTCTGCTTTATAAGTCTGTATAAAGACTTTCATTCTATATCTTAGTCTTTTTAAACTATCTGTTTCAGAAGTTCTGAATAATGAAGAGAATTAAGTTAATAATGAGATAAAGAAGTAGATAAATAAGAAGAATATAAAGACTTAGTCTGAGAATTCTTAATATCTGTAAATCTCTATATCTAAGTCTGATATCTCATATAGATTGTATAAATAAGTGATTATTAATAAGATAAAGAATAAAGAGATAATAAATAATTATAAGTAGGAAGAGAGGAGAATTAAAGATAATTTATAATTTCATAATAATCT